ATCTGTTGAAAACATCGACACATTGTTGCACAGAAAGGTGATTTTCTGCATGATTTTGATGGTTACTGAGTTCATTGCGCCAATTTAGGACGGTCCATCTACTGCGAAAGTTAGACTACAGTTGCAAAAGACCATGCAGAAGCACGCCGCTGTATTCAGACGAGGTGATATCTTACAGGCAAGTTTTTTTGTTCATAACAGCAGCAATGGTCGCATTGCGTGTTTTGGATGCGTTCCTATGTGAATAATTATATTTTTGAAAAAAATTTTGTTCAAATTCTTTATTTTTTAGGAAGGTGTTAAGAAGGTCCAGGATATCTACAAAGAAATCAATAGACTGCACGTTTTGGATACCAGTTTGATTTGGAACAGCGATCTAATAGAAACCCTAGAACTCCAAAATCTTCTCATTAATGGAATACAAACCATAGTCGCAGCTGAAGCTAGAAAAGTAAGTTCCTTTTCTTACATACCGTACTAAAGTGGATGTATTTCATTCTAGGAATCGCGTGGTGCTCACGCTCGTGATGATTTCCCCAAACGCATTGACGAATATGACTATAGCAAGCCCGTCGAAGGCCAGAAGAAGAAGCCTATTGAGGTATCATCAGTTTAATATTTTCCACGATCGAAATTTTGTGTTTACTTTGAAACGCCAATGATTTGTTCCGTTTTAAAAATACGTGAACTTTAGGAACACTGGCGTAAGCATACCATGATCCACGTTGATATTCCTACCGGCAAGGTGAAGCTCGATTATCGTCCAGTCATTGACAAAACTTTGGACAAGAACGAAACTGACTGGATCCCGCCAAAGATCCGTTCCTACTAAACATTTCCGAATAGATTGTTCAGTTGTAATATGTACTTAGTTATGCTATTTCCGTCACATTGTGGTCATATGTCCCGGTTTTTAAAATCTTGTGCTCCGGTTTGTTACTACGGTGGTCTTCGTGCTAGCTAGATTTTAGTATCTTTAAATCATAGCTTCAAGTAGGTTGTTGTTTGTAGTTTTTGTTGTCTATTTATGTAGCATGCGAATCTGAAAATTGCATTTTCTTCAATAAAAATGTGCTCGTCTTTTTGCGGAGGTAGGCATATTAAATGGTTGTTTAGCCATCTTTATTTGTAAAGACATCACTACCTGTTGGGGAACTTTACGAGCGAAGAATTTCATAGCAATTGACTGGATGCACTGACAATGAGTCAGAATGTGCAAGAAGCCACTGCTCGTGCGGTGGAGGCCTGTCAGCGTGGTAGTATGGAGGCTTTGGAGGCGGCACTGCTAGAGGGTGTACCACCAAATGCCACAGATGCTGACGGTTGCTCTTTGCTTCATTGGGCCGCTATAAACAATCGACTGGAGATCATATCAAGGTGTCTATTTCTGAGTTGAATGGGATATTGTGAAGTCCCTAGAACGTGATTTGGTTACGATACCGTGCAATTTTATTGATTATATGTGCCTTTCTATGGGTTAGTTCAATAATTTTTCAGTCACTTTTTTTTGCTTTGATTTTCAGTCATCAACAAATCATTTTGGTTGCTACAGCTATTTAGGTCCAGAAAAGCATTGTAGTGAAATGTGGATGCTTTCAGATTTTTTTTGCTCGTTTTTAAGTAATTGTACTATTTGCTGTCAGTCTAGGTTGCTCGATCTTGGTGCGGATCCGAACGTAGTCGGTGGACTTTTAGTGTCATCACCATTGCATTGGGCAGCGCGTGTGGGACACAGCAACAGTGCTGCACTACTTGTCAAAGTACCAGAGATCTTATCTTCTCGAGCAGGGGAACAGATGAAGGCTTCGAATTGCTTCCAATCTTTTAGGCAGGCGCTGTTGCGAACGTACGCGACACACAAGGATATGCTCCTATTCATTTGGCGGTACAAACGAACCAGTCCACGCTTGTCGCATACTTATTGGAAAAATTTGAATATTGCAAGGATATTACAGATAATAGTGGTAGGATTTCCCACATCATGTCTATTAACTCTAACATTGGGTCCGTAAATTGCAAGTGTCTCAAAGCTTCAGGAATGACACCTGTTATGTGGGCAGCGTACCGTACCTTTGGGATGTTCCCAATACGTTTACTTGTGAGAGCTGGTGCGAACTTGAATGCACAAGAACATTTATCTGGAAATACCGCTCTTCACATAGCTGCACAGGAAAGAAACTATTGCTCTGTGAGGTGTGAAATATTAAGCGTACTTTGAAAACTATTGGTATCTACTATATCTGCTAATCATGGACGTTTCAGAGAGTTACTGGCAGGTAACGCCGATCCTTTGCTACGTAATAAGCAGCAAGAAACACCTATCGATATTGCGAAAAATATGAGAAACCACCGAATTATTAGTGGGTTTCAGGTGTATTGATTCTGATACGTGACGAAGTCTTGGTCACCGAATA